AACGGAGAGGAGGAGAGAGAGAGAGAAACATTGATGTGAGAGAGCAACATCCATCGGTTGCCTTCTGTACATACCCCCACCAGGGACCGAACCCACAACCCAGGTATGTGCCCTGACCAGGAATCAAACCGGCAAGCTTTCGATGCTCAGAACCATGCTCAACCAACTGAGCCACACCAGCCGGGCCACTCTTCTTCTTAACAAGGCCCACCTTCAAGAAGACAATCGATTACCTCAGAGCCTGACCTTTTGAGGTTTTATCAGAGTCTGACAGACCTGGGAGAAGGGACATACCCTCCTCCAGCCCCCTCTGGCCATCCTGTCCCACCTTAGGAAGGGGAACTGAGAAGCTCTGTGAAGTTCACGGTGCAGAGGCACATGCTGACTAGAGACAGAGACCTAATCCTAGGACTGTGGAATGCTCCCTCTCCCCTCACACCACCTTACCAACGGCCTAGTAACCGCACGTCCTTTTACGCAGTTTATCATCTCTGGCTTTCAACAAAGAAGTACAAGGCATACCAAAAGCAAAGAAACAAACAACAACAAATAACAAACAGCAACACCACCAACAAAAAAACAGTTTGCAGAGATGGAGCAAGCATCAGAACCAGAATCAGATATGGCAGGGTTACTGGAATGATCTGATCAGCAATTTAAATACTCTGATTATGCTAAGGGCTCTCATGGAAGAAGTAGATAACATGTAAGAACATGGCCACAGTTGGCCACCAGGGAGGATGCAAAAGAAGGTTTCTAGCTGGGAAGCCAGATGCGCTAGAAAGCTTTGGGGATTTTATTTCTAAAAGGATGAAGCAAGGGGGGCGGGTAGGAGGGGAGGGGGGCGGGGGGGTTACTAGAGGATAGCTAGCATTCTCTTCCATGCTGTCTTTCATCGACTTTGGGCGACTCTCAGCCATTATCTTTCTTACTATTGCATAGTTCCTGTTCTCTTTAACTTGTTTTTTCTTCTTCCAGGAATTCAAAGAAATATTTATGTGAGTGACTTCAATCTCTCTCTGTTGTGCATTCTGGGTTATTTCTTTAAATCCATCTTCCAGTTCACTGATCTCTCTGTCCAGCTGTTTAACCCATATCTTGAATTTCTCATTTTTATGATTATATTTTTTAATTTCTAGAAGTTTTATTTGGTCATCTTTCAAGAGTACTGGCCATGTTAGAGTCTCTTGTTCTTTGGTTATCCTTTGGATAACTTGATTTTGTTTCTTCAAATATATTGATCATACTTATTTTACATTTGTGTCATATAATTTCAAAATCTGCTATTTTTGCAGGATGGATATTTAAGTTTTGAAGCTTCTCTCACGCACGGTGGCTTGTTTCTTTGTACATTTTGTGTGTTTTCTTCCATTATATATTTCAGAATTTTCTATAGAATTTCTTTGAGGCCTGTATTTAAAGGACAGAGGATTTGTGCTTGCTTATGCCAGGCGCTCTTGGGCGATACTCCCTCTGGACCACTTCATTTAGAACTTTTAAAAAATATATTTTTAAACTTTTCTATTTTTATGGGACTGTCACAGTCTAAGTAAAATCTGTGTGCAAGCTAATCAGATGCAGCTTCAAGACAAATCTAGAAGCTGTCCCCCCACCAGATTGCTCTCCCTCAGTCCCTGCAAGAGAGAAATTCTCACGCATCCACTACTCTCTGCCTAGACCACGCAAAACTAAAATTGCAGCTTGTGGCTATAAATTCTCAGGTCAACATTTTCCTTTTTTCCCCACTTCCACCCAGATCCAAGGTCAAGATATGCAAGCATCCTCGCCTCTCTTGGTGGGGTATTTTTTCTAGGTCACCAATTGTATTAGTTTTCTGTTGCTGCTGTATCAAATGATTGCAAACTTAGTGGCTTAAGACAGCACAAATTTATTATCGTTCCGTTATGGAAATCCAAAATAGATTTCACTGAGTTAAAATCGAGGCGTCGGCAGGGCTGTATGGTTTTTAAAATCCTCACCCGAGGATATGGTTTTATTGATTTTTTTTTTTTTTAGAGCGAGAGAGAGAGAGAGAGAGAGCACTTGCTTTCCCGTACACGCTCTGCCTGGGGATCAAACCTGCAACCTTTAAAAAATATATGTATTTTTATTGATTTCGGAGAGGAGGCAAGAGATAGAAACATCAATGATGAGAGGGAATCATTGATTGGCTGCCTCCTGCACGTTGGACCGAGCCCGCAACCCAGGCTTGTGCCTTTGACTGGAATGGAACCTGGGACCCTTCGGTCCGCAGGCTGACGCTCTATCCGTCTATAAGGGCCAGTATTCTGCCAGCCACACCCTGAGAGCATTGCCCGTCAAGAGTACAGGTTTGATGTAGGGGCCCAAGTGTCTCTTGGTTCCCATGGGTGGTGTCTGGAGAGCCACTGGAAGAAGGTGTCCAAGGAAGGAGGGGGTGGCCCTGGGCTCCTGGCTCCTGGGTGTAGATTCCCCACGGACAGGAGCGAGCCCCAGAGCTGGCTTACTCCTCTGGACACAAATATCCTCATAGTTGCTGACCTCGGAGGCTTTCTCTTATTTTCCTACCAGCTCAGCCATTCATTCCATGTTGTTAGATTTCATCCTACGTTTTAGGGCAGTGATGGCGAACCTATGACACGCGTGTCAGAGGTGACACGCGAACTCATTTTTTTGGTTGATTTTTCTTTGTTAAATGGCATTTAAATATATAAAATAAATATCAGAAATATGTCTTTGTTTTACTATGGTTGCAAATATCAAAAAATTTCTATATGTGACACGGCACCAAAGTTAAGTTAGGGTTTTCAAAATGCTGACACGCCGAGCTCAAAAGGTTCGCCATCACTGTTTTAGGGGTTCTGGACCCGGAAGATTTCCCTGGACATGCTGTCCACATTGCTCACTAAGTTGCCACTGTGTTCTCATACAGCACTTGCCCCCACCCCCCACCTTCCAGCTCCCTTCTGCTTCCCGCCATCTCTCTGTGGCTGGGGACTCTGACTGGAGAAGGACCACGCAGCCACGGTGTGCAGAAGGCGTTCAGAGCTGAGGCCGGGAGGCCAGGGAGGAGCAAGCCCCACTGATCACTTCAGGTGGCTCAGTGGCCTCCGCAGGCTCTCCTGGCCTCCAGTCTGGGCCTTTTGGTTGTTGTTGTTCATCCTCCCCTGAAGATATTTTCCCATTGATTTTTAGAGAGGGGAAGGGGTGGGGGAGACATCAACGTGAGAGAGACACAGATTGGTTACCTCCTGCATGCGCCCCAACTGGGGCCGGGGACAGAGTCTGCAACCCAGGTATGTGTCCTTGACCGGAATGGAACCCAGGACCCTTCAGCCCTCGGGCTGACTTTTTAGCCACTGAGCCAAACTGGCTAGGGCTGGGCCTTTTAGATCCAAATTCCACACTTTGTCAGCCAGAGGGACAGATGCTGGGATATGCAAGTCTGCTCTTGTCCCTCCCCAGCTCAGGCCCTTCTGTGGCTCCCATCCCCTCCTACTGAGGCTCTGACCCTGCACCGAGTCTTGGGGCGTAGCTGCCCAACTGCATGGTCACTTCTGGCCCCTGCCCCCCTGATCTCCGCCACTCTGGACACCCGGTGCCATTTACTGATTTATGGGGTCTGTTGTTTAGTGTCCTCCCTCCCCCTCCCAGAAGTTGGCTCCAAGTGGCAGGCCTCTTTGGTTCACTGCTTCATCCTGGTCATTAGCCGTACGTGGCAGATAGGGGTTCAATGGGTCGTGAGTAAATGGGGGACCTGGCCAGAGGTGGGGCCAACAGGCAGTGCAGGCGCCAGATGGGAAATGATGACATGGGGGCGGGGCGGCGCTTGAGTCCCTGAGCGGCCCAGAATGTTCCCCCCTTCCCTAGACCCCCCCCCCCCCGCCCTTCCCCAAACCCTCCAAGGTACCCAGGAAGCAGCCTCCCTCAGTTCAGAATCTTACAGAAACCGTTTATTCAGGAACAATTCAAGAAAGCAACTGTGGGGTGGGTTCCCAAGGGTTAGGGTGTGTGTAAGTGCCGCCGCCCGCTGCCCACTGCCCGCGAGGGGTGTGTCTGCAATGAATGGCCGTGTGTGTGTGTGTGTGTGTGTGTGTGTGTGTGTGTGTGAGAGAGACTGTGTGGGACCCGCAGTATCAAAATCCAGGCCTTCTTCTTCCCCTCCCCCGCCTCCAGCTCTTGCTCTGAGACCCCATCTTCTCCCGTGGCAGTCTGACCACCCTCAGTCACAAAGGGCCTCAGTGATCCCGTCAAGACATCTGGGAAAGAGGAGAAAAAGCATCTTTTCAAATGTCAAGTGGATAAACAGTCAGGGCGCCAGATGTGCGGCTGGGAACCCTCCCAATGGCTCTCAGGCCGGTGATCTCCCCAGCGGTGCTGCCCAGCAAGGAGCCACCCAGAGGCGGGCTGTCCCCGTGGCCGCCGGGTGGCCGCTGCACCTCTGAGTCCGCATCCCCTGGGAAGCCCCGGGCAGAGAAGCCGGGAGGTGACTGCACTGGTGGTGGTGGTGAGCCCCTCCCCAGAAGCAGCCGTTTGGGGACAGGGATGGGACTGCGAGCAGGTCCCTGGCGGCGAATGAGGTGGCCGGAGCAGGCACGCGCCCTTCCTGAGGGGAAAACCACAGGGAGGCTCAGGGCCCAGCTGAGCTGGCAAAGCACAGGGCCCGGGCCTGGGGACAGGCCGCCACCGGGAATGGTCCCTCGGAAAGGGAACCCCCTACCCCCCCAAAGAAAAAAGTAACAGTCGCAGAAGAGGCAGTTTCTGGAGCGAGGTCCCGCCCCAAAGCGGCGAGGGTCAGGCCGGTGGTCCCAGCCGGCCCAGAGGCACATTTAATAGGATTCCCGAGGATGTTTCAAGTGGGCAGGGCGGGTCTCTCCGGGTGGCCACCCTGGGGAGGCTCCCAGCGCCTGCCTCTTCCCACAGCCCCCGCATGAGGTATTGTGCTCTCCCCCCCCAGCCCCCCACCCCCCTCCCCCGCTGACAGCTAAGCCCCCTCCCTCCCTCCCCCTTCTCCCCCCGCAGCGCATGGGTGGTCGGGAGCACCCATTGGGGGACAGGACTGGACGGGGCTCTATGTGGGGTCGAGCTCGAAGACCCCGTCGCTGGTGGGGGTGGTGAAGAAGGAGGGCGGGTCCGAGGTGGTGGACTCCTGCCCCCCGCTGCCCCCGCCCGCGGGCACGGCGCTCCTCCAGCCGCAGGCTGCGCTCGAAGTCCAGCAGCTGCCCCATGAAGTTGAAGTTGGGCGAGATGTTGGACTTCTTGCGCTTGACCAGGTCGTAGGCATCGTTGAGGGAGAGGTGGAGCTTCTGCATGAGGTAGGCCACGGTGACAGTGACGGAGCGGCTGACGCCCGCCAGGCAGTGGACAAGCACCCCGCAGTTCTGGCCCAAGGCTTCATCTAGGCAGGGCGGAGTGGGGGGCAGAGTGAGGGGCAGGCCTCACTCCGGAGGGGTGCTCGCAGCCCCCACCCCGTCCCACCCTCCAAGCCAGGTGGCCCTGACCAGGTTGGCCTGGGAGCCCTGCCCGGCCCGAGAGTTCCTGGCCCCAGCGCTGCCTGACCCCACAAGTGCCATCCTGGCTTTGGGATCTGGGGATGGCAGCTGAGCCCGGGAAGAGCCCTCATGAGGGAGAGGGGCAAGCGATGGGAAAGGCCAGGAGCCAGGTCTGGTGGAGGAGGGAGAAAGGGGAGGGCAGGGAGGACTCACCAATGAACGCGATGGCCTCAGGAAAGAACTGGGACAAGTTCTGGCTCCAGTGGTCCGAGATGGGAATCTGCTTGTAGTGAAAGTCGCCATTCTTCTCAAAGAGGTTAGGGAGGTTGGGGGTGACATTGAGGATGTAGCGGATGCCTAGCTTGGCCAGGCTCTCCACGTTGGCCGAATCTCGGGCACAACCCAGGTAGAGGTTGGGCAGGATCTGGACCGGGAAGGATGGTATCAGCCCCGATGGGGGGGGCGTGGCACCCTCGGAATCCAGGCTGCAGCTCAGGGAGTCTCGGTCAGGTTCGGATTCCCCGTCGGAGCAGTCAGAACCCAGGCACAGGTTGCCCAGCCCCACCACTGGGCTGGGCACCATGGCCATGCTGGCTCCACCACGGCTGCTGAGGCTGCTTTCGCACAGCTGAGGGCACTCAGCCTGGAACCTGCTGAAGCCACCTGGGAGGGAAAGAGGAGGTTTCTGCCGATCTGGTCCCCAATCTGGTCCCCGACCAGGGAACCAGCCCCAGAGAGCCCGACCCCTGAGTTCCCAAAGGGGACTCAGAAGCCAGCAGCCTGTTCTAGATGGGTGTCGCCATGTGGTGCGCTCTGGGCAGCCCAGCCACCCTCACCTCGTGCTGTTGGTTACTTCCTGGACAGCAAGTGCTCCCTGTGGCTGCTGGGCCCAGGCTCAGCCATCCCAAAAAGATCTCACACCTCCAGGGCCAAGCCGAGGCTGGCGTGAGGGCTCAGTAGAGTCTAGATGCGCTGCTAACCTCCGGGCAGGGGGGGGTGGGGGGGGACGGGGAACTATGGCCATCAGTTACAGAAGAGGAAAGCTTCCCACGTGAGTTCTCTGCCTGGGTGTCTCCCTATCTGGCTCGACCAGGAGTGCCCGGATGGCAGGGGCCAGGTCACAGCCATCTCTGTGCTCTCTTCAGGGGTGAAATGAGACCCCAAGAAGAGGGGAGCCCGGGAGAGAGCGGGACATTCCACCTGGATAGTCCCAAAGTCCCAGGAAGTGAGCATTTCCTTGGTCTACAGAGAGCTTCTATGTCCCCGGGCTGGGGCGGGGGCCTGGAAATGCAGCATTCTGTGGATTTCTATATCCCTGTGCATTCTGAAGGGAGCAAGGGAACACACCCCAGTGACCCTTTTCCATGGGGAAGTGGGGACAACTGGTTCTGTAGGTTCATAGAAGCCCTGTCCCTAGCCTGGATCTCTGGAGTGTGTGTGTGTGTGTGTGTGTGTGTGTGTGTGTGTGTGTGTCTCGGCACAGAGCCAACGGGCTTGTATCAGCCTGTCTCCCTTCCATCCAGAGAGCCCAGGGCGGGGGGGGGGGGGGGGGGGGGGGGGAAGTCTTTTGTTTTTCAGGGCTCCTTTTGCCTTCCCTGGTTTTTTCTCTCTCCCTCTCCCCCCATTCCTGCCTTTGCAGAGCAGGATTTGTCCTGTGTCGCTGGCCTCCTTGCCCTGTGGCTGAGCAGCTGCAGTAGGCGGCATTACTAGCTCAGGAAGGCCGGGAGCCAGGCCAGGTCAGCCACTTTCTACCCATTTTCCAGACTCAGAAACTGAGGCTCCCAAAGGGAAAGGACTTGCCCATGGTCACACTCAGGGGAGGGTATCTCACCTCCACTTTAGACAAAAAAAAAGCGGAGCTCGCTCAAGATCAAATGAATTGTAACTCCCCTCTGAAGGTGGGGTCCTGCCTCCCAGGGTAGGGATCTCCCCCGCCCCAGGCTGGTGCCCACCGCGCCCCCGCTTGCACCTACCCTGTAGGTAGTAGGCCAGGTAGCCTTCCTCCCGCAGCTTCTGGAGCAGGGTGCCCAGCACCGACTCG